CCTTGCCCCAATAAGCTGTCCTGCCACCCTTTTCCGGCAAGTTCTCACGAGACAGGATCGACTTTTTAGTTAGGGGACAGCGAGACCTTCAATTTGATATCCTACTTGGGGCATAACTCGATGGGGGTAGTGTTACGTTTTTTTCAATTTGTTAAAAGATATTTCCGGCAGCATTTGCTCTCAGGCAGGAATACAGGTTAATAGATACACATAATACTATCTATTGATAATAGTGTCGACACATAACTCGATCGGGGTAGGAAAAATGCGGTCGTCTCCCAGACTAGAGGTCAGGTGAAAATCAGATGTCAAATTTTTGACATAACGCTTCCCAGATAAATAACTTCCTAATTAATGATTGTCGTCATTAATTGTCATTTCAAACCATTAATTCATTTAAGTAAATCTTGACATTTTTTCAGGTTTTAATATCATTTTTCGGGGATAATACCACAAGAGCTTCAAAATTAAGGATAATTTTTCACAATTCTAGGAAGTTTTATGTCAAAAATTTGACATCTGTTTTTTTTCAAAAATGTCCCAATGAAACCTATTGAGATTTTTGAGATTATATAAAGCAAAATGAGCTCTATCCAATCAATGATGCGTTCCCATTTTAAGAAAAGATCAATGACGTCATATCTTTGAGAGGATTTTTTTTTCCTATATCTCTGTGTAACTTTTCCCTACACGTCTTCTTATACTTATTTCCAAAATTTCATCAAATTCCATCGAGCCGTTTTCTCAGAAAAATGCCAACACACACACACAGACGGAAATGTGCCACCTTGCCAAAAAGGCTTAAAATGATCCAAAACGTCAAGATTTAATGAAATTTTGACATGGTCAAAATCGGGCTATCACCACAGCCATAGATTGTGCTATCACCATAGCTTCCCATCTAGGAAGCTAAAAATTGTGTAGGCAAAATTGTTCTCAAGGTTTTATTCAAGTTTGTTGCTTCTCTTGTGATATTAGCTGCTTTTTTTCCGCACACTGTCTCATCTTAGCTAACTTTGAAAATCTTAGCTGAGCTAAGTTGTAGTTCAAACGTGCACATTAGATGGACGAAAGATCTAACCTTAAATACACATACATAACTTCAAGTAAGAAATTGAACTAAGGATGGAATCCGGCATCCTTGGCGTAGGCAAGCGGGGTGGTAATTTCGACTGACATAAACTTACCTCCTAAGATGTTAGAAAAAACGGTCCTTTATATAGAATAACTTAGCTAAGATAGATGTGTAGAAAAAAAGCAGCTATTATATATGAAAACAGACCTATGGGGTGCAGGCCAAGTGGCTTGATCACATACCAGCAGATCAGATGCCTAGCAGATTGTATATAATTTTTAAATTTAAATCCAGTCAATCAAATCTCAAATCAATTTAATTTTTAGCATTAGAGGTGATTTGTCGATTGTTCGATCTGATAATCCCCTCTTATAATTAGATAAACCGCACCTTGCATTAGAGTTTGTGGTGGTCATTGACAAATCAATAAATCACCTATCAACTGATTACTTTCATTATAATTTCAAGTTGTGTAACTTTAGAGATTTTCAGTTGGCATTATCAATGGTTGATTGGGGTAATATTTTATTGATTGAGGACTTGGATTTTATGAGAACCTTTATAATGCTATTAAAGTATCAATCCAGTGAATCGGCATTAGAACCCTAAGTTCCCAAAATGTCACCTTGAAATAATTGATTTTGATGAAAAAACCTGCACACAAAAAACTTAAGGAAACTTCTTCTTTAGAGGATTACCTTGAATTTTCTCAATTACGTCTACAATGTAGGGAATATGCTTAATCAGCCATCAGAACTACCTGGATAGTATAGACTATAGAGGATAGGGTGCAGGAAAAAAATGGACGTTGGAGTTAAATTAGGTCAAACCAAAATACAAATAGTTTTCCCAGGTCAATGGCTTTTGAAGGATGAGAATGAGGCTTTTCCGGGGCCCTTATTCTCGAAACAGGGAACAACGTTTTCAAAAGAACGATTCCTTTGTCTTTGTTAGTGTTAAGGAAATAAAAATATGGGCGACTAAAATTGAACCTTCCTTCTCATGAGAACGCTGCTTCCCTCTTTTGAGAATGAGGGCCCTCAAAGCATTGCTAAGCTCTTTAAAAAAAAACTTTTGCTCGATATACAGGGTGTCCCACGACGTTTCTCCCAGGTGATAACTTCGGAACGCGTCATCCAATATAATTGAAATTTTGAGGATCTGGGTAAATTTTTGTGCCGCTTCTACCTCTGTCATCCAATTTTACCATTTTTGCTTCAATTTCGGTCAAGTGACGTCAACTTTCAAATCTTAAATGTAACTCATGGTATATTATGGTATTTTTCGTTAAAAAATTAAATTACAAAATCGGCTATGCCATATTTGTTGAGGTTTTGTTAAAGGATATGACAGAAAATTATACAGTGGAACATACGATGATGCGTTCCGAAATGATCATCTGGGAGGAACCTCGTGGGACACCCTGTATAAAGGACACGACAAATCAGATCAGATGCAAATGTCTCATGTGATCTTTTATCTATTAACTTGAGTTGTGTGACTATTAATGACGTGGATGTTTTTATTTAATAAGATTTTTCATTTAAAAGACAATCTGGATAGTAGACCGGATGACATTCGTCTTTATCGCTCTATGCTTTATCGTCAAAAAATGCATTTTTGTTTTCTCACTTATTATGTCATATTTATAATAGATCTTCGATTGAAGGTATTTTTTCCAAAAGCATATGGAAGACCAGTTTTGTGACTCCAATTTTCAAAAGTGACGACAAGTCATTAATTGAGAACTACAGGCCTGTTTCTAAAATTTCTATTTCCTCCAAGATACTAGAAGCGATAATAAGGGACAAAATAACACCATTATTTGAAAATTTAATATTACCGACCTGAACAACATGGTTTCAGAAAAGCGAGATCCATCATGACATCGAATTTGTTAGAATCTGAACACACTCTGTTTGGCGCTTTGGAGGAGGGGTATCAGGTTGATGTGGTCAATACAGATTTCTCTAAGGCGTTTGACAGAATTGACCATAGTATTCTAAAAAATAAACTAAAATGCATAGGTTTTTATGGTAGTTTCTTAGATTTTTTTTTTTTTTTTTTTTTTTTTTTTTACGGATATGCGCATTCGCAAGGAAATGTCCTATCACGCTCGAGAAGCGGCAAGTGCGCGGAAATGTCGGTGTATGTTGGTCTTGAAACGGTTCAGGTTGTAACCTGCAGGGAAAACCGTCGCAGGGAGTTTATTCCACAGCGATGCTGTTCTCCAGAGATATGAATTCTGATATAATGAGGTTCTTGGTGCCTCTAGTTTGACAGTAAATTCATGGTTACCGTCTGTTTGACGGGTTCGCCTGGTAGGTGCTACTCTCGGTGGAATCATACGTGCCAACTCTTCAGAGCATTTTCCGTGATAGTACCTGTAGAAGAGAGATAAATCGCCCACAGATCTGCGATGTTCGAGACCATCCAAGTTACGAGTAAGTGCGGGGTCATTGATCAACTTGATAGCTCGTTTTTGCACGGTATTCAAAAGCATTAAGGTATGTTTGGGTGCTGCACTCCATATATGTGAGCAGTACTCCATAGTTGGTCGAATCTGGGCTTTGTAGAGTGTCAGCAATTGGCTTGGTGTGTACAGATGTCTTGTACGAAATAGCACCCCCAGCTTTTGGGAGGCCCTTTTAGCAATATCTGCCACGTGATTGGATTGTTGATCAGCTTTCGAAAAGAAAGCAAAGAGTAAAAGTAGAAAATATTATTTCAACCGAGATTGACATACAGTCCGACTTTTATAATCTGATACCTGATACTCCAAAGGAATGTGAGCTGGTGGCTCCTTACGTTCTGACGCCGATGATCATCTCACCTCACACCTGTTTTTGCTGTATTTTTCCTCCACTCACTTCTCATACATAAAGTGTCAAATTAAAAGCTAAACACATAGACAAACACTTTCAGTGGTGTTTTGCAAGGCGGTCCTTTGAGCACACTTTTATTTAACCGCTTTATGAATGATGTTAAGAAAGTTTTCGTAATTGGATTTCTCTACTGCGAGAAATGTGTTTTTCCCGTTTTGATTGAATCTCATCTACATTACGGAATCTGTTTCTGGGTAGCCGTTCAGATCAACTTTTTAATATGACTTATTCTACAACAGCAAGCAATAAGGTCGATGTGCAAAGTAGGTCCAGGCAATTATCAGACCTTTATTTGTTTCACAAAGGATTTCAACAAGCGTATAATATATATAACACCCCCTCGCTCCTCATACGGAAAGTGTCATATTAAAAACGACGGACAACATGTCACATGTGTAAGTCTGAAATGTTAGTGTGTATATATGTATAAATTTTGAGTTGGTGAAAGGATCTTAATTTTTATTTAAATATTTAATTGTGTTAAATGTTGAATTTAAATTGAAATAAAGGACAATGATTTAACGTCACCTCTATAACACCAAAAAAATGCAACAAAAATCAAAACATAACTATCTCTGATAGACAGACATTAGGTCTGTTCTTATAAAAATCACGAACCAGTCCGAGCGAATTTCATTGGTTAAAAATAGTCAGAAAACTGTTTGTTGTCGATTTGCACCAATCAAAAACGCTCTTACTGGTTTGTGATTTCTGTGAGAACAGACCGATAACAGGATATTATTTCAATAGTGCATCGTATCGTTGACATTCCAGCAATTTGGGTTTGGGATCAGAAAAGTAATCAGCTCTAGGGTTTTTTTTGCCTATCTGCAGAATGATACATTTGCCATTTCTTAAGATCATTTTTTTTTTAACGGTAATTCAATTTTCTTTCTTGCTGCAAAATTGTGTTGCAACATTGTCTTATGGTACTAATAAACTTATATTCAAATTCTGGTCTGCTCAACTAGTTTTTATCAGGTCAAAAATAATAACTGACAAAATTGTAATTGATCGGCTCCTAATTTCTTTTATTTCAGGCCTTAACGTAGTGAGCAATATCAGACGACTGCAACCGGTTCATAAAACAGAAAACCCGGACGAACCTCCACCAATCACCATACCGCTACCAAAACCGTGCGTGCCCGAAAATCTGACGTTCACCCATCTGCTGCAACCATCGCAACACATCAGTCCGGTGCAAACGAAACAAGAGAGAATCGACGACCCTCCGCCCATCCCCATACCTCTATCCAAACCGATGATGCCAGAAAATTTAATGTTTAATCATCTACAGGCGCAACTGTCCATTTCTCAGATGCATTTCACTAATCAAAGGCCCGCTACCTAGGTGCCTGTTAAATATCAAGGTGACGAACCAGATTGTTTGGATAAGTGATTCTTTTTTTATTATCAGTTGGTATTTTGTCAGGTTTTTTTTTGCTTAAATTGCCATTTATTCCATATTGATGGAATTTTTTAAATGTCAAGAACCCTACACATGTGATATTTAATAGGTTTCCTTTTGTTTTAGGACATTTTGTATTGATGTTATCTTTTCTATGCATGTCAATTCAGTAAGGTATTATAGCTCTATTATTATTATTATTATTATTTTATTAGTATGTTCGAAAGCTATTTGAGAATTTGTTAATAGATACACATGAATAACTTTAAACACCTAAATTATTGAACATAATCTGGTTCGTTGCACTTAATTCCAGCACGTTAGGTGTGGTTCCAAGTGGCTAGTGAAAGTAAGTCATTTTTTGTTGACTCGGTTGTATTTTTTTTTTGAAAAAAAATATGACTTGGCCAGCTTGTAGAGAAAAAAATGGTAAGTTGCCTTTTGATTTGTTTTTGTGTATTTTAATAATTTAGTTTTAGTTTTACATTAAGTATATTGTATTCTGGTTCAAATTGGCTTTTATTGAAAAAAAAAAAATTTTTTTTGGTTTATTCACCTTCTGTTGATGCAATATGATGAATTATAACGCAATCTATGATCCTAGTGGTCCATCGGAAGCTACATTGGTATATATTTGTCTTGTAAACAGTTACCAGCAAGTTCAATTGAAGATGAATAAACCAAGCATTATATGAAAAAAATATGTATAAATGACAGTTTTAACATTTAATATGACATGTGATATTTTATAATTTAATACTAGAACAAGATACATAATCTCTTGTTGGCAAATATACTTTGGTATTCAAAAAGAGATAGGATGATACTTTGAACTGTTTTTTCTCTTTTTAAGCCAAAAACTTTCTATTTTGGCATCCACTTATCCTTAGAAATTTGACAGACTGATATCTATATTTTATTAAAGGCAGAACACTTTAAACTGTTGACAGCACACACTTAAAACTTAAATTTTATTTAATTCTATATCTGTATATTTAATTTGTACATACTATCATAATTTGTTTTTAGAGCAGGGGGTGATTTCCTTGCATTAAAGGAAATTTTGTCTCACATTGTCTTTCAATTTTTTTTTTACTTATTTTTGTTGGTTGTATTTTTTACCACAACACAAATCAATAAGCAATGGCAGCAATTATAAGAAATTAGTGCTTTATTTTTTACCCAAATTATTTATGATTTTAGAGCTAGCATGAAATTTTTATTTTTTTTTTTATGACAAAATGCTCATAAATTGTTAAAATATGTACATATATTTTGAGCATGACCATATTATTATTTATGTATCGAGTAGAATATGTAGTAACCATAGACCTAAACTTTAGATGAATAATGTAAATAGTAGAACTTAGGGATAGAATATGCTTTCTAATATAAGAACCACCTCGATTATTGTATAGCGATTTTTATAGATTTATTAATCTATGTTTTTGTATTGTGACATTATATATTGTGCATATTACAACAAAAATAATAATTGTCCATAATATAAAAATTTAAAATATGATGAATCGATGTTTTATTTTACATTTTTTGAAATTTTATTTTCGAGTCCAGGTAAATTGTATGGCCCATGTTATTGAGGAAATTTTTTTCATACTTAGCAGTGGCGACGCCAAAGGGGGCCCCCACTAAAATTTTGCGGCTTCCCCTGAAAACTTGCCCTCATGTCAGCAACAATGTAATGCAACATCAGTAGCCTCTGTCGGTTAATTGTGTATTCGGTGGGCACAGGCAACCGCGACGCTGCTTTCGCTCTTCGGGAATTCCTCCAAACATCTTAGGGTCGGCAGGTACAGGGATTTCCCGTATATTTTTGCACCACACCTGTGTCATTCTTGAAACTGGGAGCAGCGTTCCCAAAAGAACGAGTGTTCCGTCTTTCTCAATGATATGCAAATGATAATATAAGTAACAAAGACAGAAAACTCGTTCTCCTGGGAACGCTGCTCCCCTGTTTCAAGGATCCTGAAGGCTCAATAGCAAGTCACCCCCAGTTTAAGAATAACTCCGAAGTGAACATTGCAACTGGGCCGGTATTCTGGTTCTCGAAAAGTCGAAAACGCTCACCGCTTTTCAGTCGCTCGGCACTTCTAATGTAAATTTACATTTGTTTATTTATATTTTGGGCTAGGATAAAGATTCAGACTTGCGGTTTTCACCAGTTTCCTTATTTTTTCATCCTCTTTCCATCTAAATTATAAAAAAAGCATCATTATATTTGAAATTTCCAAGAAAAAATGGAAAATTGTCGACTTTTAGACAGAGCGCCCCCTAGCGGCAACTAAACAATTCAATTTTGTCATTTTTATTATGCATTTCATTAAACAGAAAAAAACTCTTCCGAATGACACCAGATTTATTTAAATCGGTTGAAAAACAAAATAGTTATTTTCCTAACCAGTGCGCAAAGTGTTACTTTTCCGCACGCAAACATAGTTATACGAACGACGCGAAGCGGAGTTCGGATACACTTTGCGCACATGTTAGGAACAACATTTTTCCTACGAGATTCATATCAGGTAGGTAATAACAAAAATTAAAAAAAAAAACGATAATTTGTTTAGTTATTTTCAATTAACTTGAAGGGAACCTATGCATTTATCAAAAAATTACATAACAAAAAAAAAAATAACAGAAAATCCTCGTCAGAGCTGTTCATCTTAAAGTGTTTAAATTTGATGAGAAAGTTTGTGTAGATTTTTGAATATAAATAGAGAACAAATGTGACATGTGTCAAAGTTAATTTATATTTAGTGTTTGTATAGATGTTGGCTGATATAGAAACAGAGGAAAAATTTGTCATCATGTGTCAAAGTCGACAGGTGCACTTATTGTTGCTTGACAATTATAATTACTTTTCGGCACTCAGTGCGGATAAGGCCTGTATTCGCACTGAGTGCGGAAAAGTGTAACTTTGAGCCCGAAAATGCGTGCGGAAAAGTACTTTGCGCACGCTCGTAGGAAAAAGTTATATAACTTTTGTTCCTGACAAGTTTGAACCTTCCCCCACCTTTTATTTGAAGAGTTAGAGCAAAAAATCCTTCACAAAATTTTTGCGTAATCTCATCAAGATTTCAATAATCATATTTTTAGGATACCTTAAGCAGGTCCGGCCCTACCATAAGGCGAACTGAGTGAGCGCTCCAGGCGCCAGACCTCGGGGGGCGCCTCCGAATCGTTGATGATAAAAAAAGAGAATAATATATTTCTGCTCTGAATCTTGTCTTCGCTTTTCGATATCCTGCTATTCTGCTTGCGAGCAAGCGTGTGCGGTTAGTATGTGAATCCTATAGAACGTTTAGGCCCGGTTTCTTCACTTCCAGATAAATTTTCTGGTGACTGTCTGGCTGATCAAAGGGATTGCGGATTGCCTTTTTATCCGGCAGTCCTTCAGACCTTAGCATTAAATAATTGGCAAGATAAGTTCCTGAATATCTGGACAGCACTTATTTTTGTTGTAACCATTCCTGCGGGTGGCGAAGATGAACGGATCTTTAGCAAGCTTAGGTTAATTAACCGTGCGTTTGGTATTATGATCTGAGTTCTCCTAGCTTGAATTTACTGTTCATTTATTTAAAAAGTTTACTTGGTGCAGGCTTATTTGCGTTCGTTTATTAAAATTTCGAGGGCTCTCATCATTGGCTCTGATACAGCGTTTAACTCGAGGCTTAATTGCTCTGTGTGCTCGCTGGTCACGTGACTACTGCTGCGCTTCAGCACGCTCTGCTCTTTGAGCAAAATACCGAACGCAACCTAAAACGTACCTAAGGGGTCAACTCTAGCAGAAGACAACCTTTCTGATCTGGCCCTGCTGTCCTTGGATATGATATAGCTCAGAAATTGTCATTTGAGGAGATCATACAAATTTGCAAATACAAAAGTGCGCAAACAGCGATTTACCTACCTAAAATTTTGCGTTTTGTTTGTTCGATTTTTATGTTTATAAGTGTTAATCAATAATTACCACCAAAGTTGATTATTTATTGATCTCATCAACGAATGTGGAACAAATGTTGGTAAAGAAGAGAGCTTCCTACTTTATTGTTAAAATGGTGATTACTGATCTCTTTATAAAAAATAAATATTAAATATAATAAATAAATTCATGTTTCACACAACTTTCATTATTTGCTTGTCATTCTACTTTGAATCCAGTCTCAAAAGAAAAAAAGTAGATACCAACGGTACCAATGAACATGGATGTTTTCAAATTTCAATTGATAAGATAGATAGGGATATACAGGGTGTTTGGCGGAGGGTTATCCAAACTTGGTAGGCGTACAGATAAGTGCCCTTGAGTAACTTTTTTTTAAAATGTTTATGAAAATGTTTGTTCCGTGTGTTTTTGGTCTGTAGTGTAGGGTATCACGAGAGGTATCCTTAATCTAATGAAGTAATAATTAGGCACAAATACTACCGAAATAATTAGCATTTTTATAAACATTTAAAAAAAAGTTACCGAAGTCAAAAGGTCCATTTTTGAAAATTCTTCAGAATAATACAAAAGCAATGATATAAAAAAAACGGGAACCTTAAGGGCACAAGTGTATTAATAAAATATCTTCAAAATGGGCCGATTTATACGACCACCAAGTTTGGCTAACCCTCCGCCAAACACCCTGTATGGGCAAAATTCATGCGAGAACGATTCTCATTTGAATTAGGGGCGCCAAAGTCGGACCTCGCTCCATCCTAAAAATAGGCTCGGGCCGGCACTGACCTTAAGTGGGCGTTTTTTGAAGATAATCACAGTAAGTCTGCCGCAGTACAACCCATTCCAAAGAAAGGAAAAAAGACAGATCCGTTAAACTATAGACCAATTGCTCTACTTCAGGTGATATCAAAAGTAATGGAAAGAGTTGTGAACAATCACCTAACCAAGTACTTGGAAAAGTACAAAATTATCAACGATAAGCAATACGGATTTCGAAAATATAGGTCAACTGGCGATTTACTTACATACGTCACTCACTTATGGCAAAAAGCGATTGAGTTGCGGGGTGAAACAAGAACAATTGCCTTAGATATATCTAAAGCATTCGACAAAGTTTGGCATGAAAATCTGCTCAACAAGCTCAAAGCAATGGGATTATCGCCGAAAACTTTGCACTTGGTTTGAAAGTTACCTAAAGGACAGATCCATTTATGTTGCACTGGATGGCCAGAACTCCAACTCTTACCAAATAAATGCTGGTGTGCCACAGGGAGCAATCCTTTCGCCAACTCTTTTCCTGATTTACATAAATGACCTCATAGATAAAACAGTAAATCCACTTTATTGCTTTGCAGACGATGGCAATGTAGTCTCCTCATTCATACCACCCATAGGTCTTTCCGCACGTGAATTCCATCATCTTAGACTAACTCAAATATCGCAGATAAATAACTACCTGGAGATAATAGAGGACTGGGGTAACAAAAACCTTGTACAGTTCAACGCGCAGAAAACCCAAGCAGCTCTGTTTTCAAAAAAGACCAGCACCGGTGAGCCAAACATCATGCTATCTGGAAGTGCTGTCACATTACAGAGTCAGTTGAACATCTTGGGGGTTACTGCAGAGACCAACATGTCTTGGCACAGTCACGTGGCAGATATTGCTGAAAGGGCCTCCCAAAAGCTGGGGGTGCTATTTCGTACAAGACATCTGTACACACCAAGCCAATTGCTGACACTCTACAAAGCCCAGATTCGACCAACTATGGAGTACTGCTCACATATATGGAGTGCAGCACCCAAACATACCTTAATGCTTTTGAATACCGTGCAAAAACGAGCTATCAAGCTGATCAATGACCCCGCACTTACTCGTAACTTGGATGGTCTCGAACATCGCAGATCTGTGGGCGATTTATCTCTCTTCTACAGGTACTATCACGGAAAATGCTCTAAAGAGTTGGCACGTATGATTCCACCGAGAGTAGCACCTACCAGGCGAACCCGTCAAACAGACGGTAACCATGAATTTACTGTCAAACTAGAGGCACCAAGAACCTCATTATATCAGAATTCATATCTCTGGAGAACAGCATCGCTGTGGAATAAACTCCCTGCGACGGTTTTCCCTGCAGGTTACAACCTGAACCGTTTCAAGACCAACATACACCGACATTTCCGCGCACTTGCCGCTTCTCGAGCGTGATAGGACATTTCCTTGCGAGTGCGCATATCCGTAAAAAAAAAAAATTATGTTCTCGAGTGTTCGTTGCGCCCCCTAGCGGTCAACTTACAAACTTGAAAACTATTTCCAGCAATTTTCATGGCCTGTTTTATAAAAAAAATGTTTATTTGGAAGCTCTAGGACTAATAGTTCCTGAGATATAGCCGGCGACCTTTCTTATTTGGACACCCGGTACGTCGGAAACTAGAACACTTATTTGGGCATATCATGCGAAACGAAAAATATCATCTACTTCAACTTGTATTACAGGGAAAGATAGAGGGTCAAAGATCAGTGGGTCGCAGTCGTATATCGTGGCTGAAAAATTTTAGAACATGAACAGGAA